AAAATTGTTTGAACCACCGTATCTCACAAAAGGCTGCTTCGCTCGCCATAGAAGCAGCATTACAAAAAGCTCAATCTGCAGTTTTCTGCACCAACAGAGGCAGTGCTTTTATCAGCAGCATGAATACTTCAGCTTGTATTTGTCGAGAATTGATAAGATTATGTCATCATTTCTAAAACCAAAGAAATAAAATCTTGTTCTCTTTTATCTTTTTTTTTTTTCTTTCTCTTTTTTTCTCACATTTTTTTTCCTGCAGTGCTGAGTGTCTTTCTCTACACAGCAAGGCAACGTTAAGAAAAGATCAGAGAGGGCCTTTACACTGCACGTTGGCAGAGGTGAATGCATGCCTCATTTTTTCTACCTTGACTGAAGAAGAGGCTGGACCAGTGTCCCCACAAGCTTGCCCTGTGCCCTGGCCAGGGTGAGGCAGAGCTTGCAGAGAGCAAGCTGGGAACTTGCCCCTGTCAGATTCCCTCCCCCAGACCCAGCACACAGCCTCCTCTCTTCCTTCTATGAAGGGTGTGCAGTGGGGCACGCAGCTGCTGGCTCCCTGTGCTCCCTTGCACCTTGCTTCACAGTGAGTTTGGTCCCTCACACCGTCCTTGTCATCTGTTGTCAGAATTTCCTGTCATAGCTGCTCTTTTCCTCCCCCCCTTGCTGTACTGCAGGGTTCAGCTCTATGGCTGATGTGCTTTTACTCCAGCCTGCTAGATTTTTCTTCGTCTTAATATATTATTTATGATGCTATTATTCCTTGCAGCGGACTGCCAGCCACATTCTGCCTACAGTTGCTGCCCTTCCAAAAGCATCACGGCCAGCAAAAGAAAACACTGATCTAATTGAATTAAAAGTGGTGCTGTTAGCCTTAATAGAGTTTGTCATGAAACGCTAAACAGATGTGACAATGATCTTGGTTAGTCATATTTTTGTCCCTGCTCCCAGACACGGTAACTGTTAGCCAGATCAGTGGGGAGGTTAATTCTCCTTTGCTGATCTGTAACTGTGCTTACCTGGACATGTGGTAACCGCTTTGGACCGACGGCTGAAATAAGCCAAAGCCTTGAGCACCAGAAAGTTTTACATTCTGATTATAAACTTGGCTAATTAAAACAAGACACAGATGGAACTGCCACCGAGCAATTTTCACCTCAGTTACTCTGACTCCAATTATAGCCTTTCCCTACCAGCTTATGCTGTTTAAATTACAAAGTCAGGGGACAGACTACTATTTACCTGCTTGTATTCGTGCAAGGAAGTCTAACACATCGTTTTTCTGCACAATGCATGTGATGATGGTTTCAGGGCTTATTCTGCAAACAAAAGCATCTCCATTCCTTAAAAAAAAAAAACCACCCCGGGGGGGGGGGAAGTAATAAAAAGACCACTTGGAGACTCGTTAGCAGGCACACACATTAGCGGGAAGCATATGCATATTATTTGCACAATGTGTTCCTCTAACACTTGTTGGTTAGAGCAGGTGCCGTACTTCTGGGAAATTAACTTTAATTGGATAAACAGTAGAAAACTGGCGTTTGCTAAGCTGGTCCAACACACTGTTTTAGCTTATTATTTTCTTTAGATATTCTGAAAAGTTTGATGATGCTCCCTTGGTGGCTTTTGCTTCTTCCCAGAGCAGACTGCATTCACAGGGTGGGGCTGGATGAACAAGCTGCCAAGAATGGGTGAGCTTTGTTTGGTCCTGCTGTAATGCAGGTGGGGTAGACATGAATGCTGGCTGGGCTCCTCTGCATTGCTCTAAATGAGATTTGCAAGCAAGCTGTGAAGTAGGAATCTACATCCAGCCCTGGAAGAGAGTGCAGAGCAATCCTGCCCTGGCTGACTTTATGACAAGATGAATGAACTGGAGTCATACCCCAGATTTGGACCTATTGGCCAAACTGCTGTATTTTCCCCAGTGTTGGTGCATCACTGCTGTGGCACCACTTTGCATGTAAAATCATTCGTTCTGCTGGTGAATTCTGCCGCTGAACTGCCCGTGCTTTTTGTGGGTTAGAAGCAGGGCTCTGCCTACTCCTTTTCACCTGAGGATCTTTCAGTTGCAGAATATTCCCTGCTATTGAAGCTATGATGGAGCAGGACTTGCAGAGTTGTCTTTGAAATTACACTCTGGAGCAGTGTAAAAAAGTGTGGGAGAGTGGGGAGGAGGAACAGGATTTCTTTACGTTGACCTATTGCTTTTGAGTAATTCAGCCAGGCTACATTTTGTGTAAAAAGATTTTTTCAAATTAAAGCTGATTGTAAAGGAATTTCTGTGCACCCTCAATTAGATGCTAAATGAGATCAAGATGAGTACCATTACTGTGATGAATATGGTGACATTAGCCTGTTTGAATTGCTCAAAGCACACCTGCTCCTCCTGGCTATTTTCCTCTTTGACCAAGCCAAACACAGTGAATTTCTGAATTTCTGTGGAGTAGTACGAGTAGCTCCTTCAGGGGATGGATCTCAGCATCCATTTAATGCAGGGGCTTTTCTCCCCTGCAGAAAGCCACAGCACTGGATAATCTGGAGTGCTGTTGACACTTCTGCCCTGGAAGAGCTGTTGGTGCTCAGCAGAGGGATCTATCCTTGGCAGCATTGTGCTGCTTTGCAGGCCATAGCCCCACTGAGGCAGTGGGATCTAACGCCCTGTGTCCTTCCTTCATCCCTGTCCTGCATTCCTTCCTTCATGTCTGTGCTTTAACATGACTTCCCTCTCACCAGATGCAGGGGGATGAGCCTTGCAAGAAAGCCAGCCAGTGCCACTGCTGGAGGCCGACTTGGTCACTCCCATTAAGTCTGGCATGATCTATGGGAATAACTGAGACCATCTGGCAATGAAGCAGACAGCTGGTGAGTACCTTCAGCAGGACCAGAGTACTGAGCTTAGAAAAACAACAAAAAAAAGGAACTGGGAACAACAAAGCATGAATCAAAATGTTATAGAATAACATTAATAGTAGTACAGAGGTATTGTCACTGAATGGTTTCCTTAGATGCTGCTTGGGTGATGTGCTTCAGAACTAGCTGGACAAAGTAATATCAAAGGGGCCAGCTGTGGGCTGAAGAGCACCTGGAGAGCTTTCCCTTTCCTGCGTGGAGCACTCAAGCCTCATGCACGCCTGCAGAACGCTGTGAGGCAGACGCAGTGTCCTTGGTCTCCAGATTAGGGTCCACTGCTGTGGGAACATCAACCCCGTGCCTCTGCATGCTAGCATGCCTGGACACCTCTGCTGGAAGGAAAGCTAAACCTGAGGTGAAAATAGAGATGTCTGTGGGTGAAGCACTGAAAAATTTTGGTGAGTCTTGGCTCTGGCTCCTCTCTGCTGCCCCAGGGCTACCAACTGGTACTGCCTTGCTGACACGCCTGAAGGCTGTACTGCCATTCAGCAAGACCTGGATAGGCTGGAGAGCTGGGCAGAAAAAAACCGGATGAGGTTTAACAAAAGCAAGTGTAGAGTCTTGCATCTGGGGAGGAATAATTGCATGCACCAGTACAGGTTGGGGGATGAGCTGCTGGAGGGGAGCTCTGCGGAGAGGGACCTGGGTGTCCTGGTGGATGACAGGTCGGCCATGAGCCAGCAGTGTGCCCTTGTGGCCAAGAGGGCCAATGGCATCCTGGGGTGCATTAAAAAGAGCGTGGCCAGCAGGTCAAAGGAGGTGATCCTCCCCCTCTGCTCTGCCCTGGTAAGACCTCATCTGGAGTACTGCGTCCAGTTCTGGGCTCCCCAGTACAAAAAAGACAGGGATCTCTTGGAAAGAGTCCAGTGGAGGCCACCAAGATGGTGAAGGGCCTGGAGCATCTCTGCTATGAGGAAAGGCTGAGTGAACTGGGTCTGTTCAGCCTTGAGAAAAGGAGACTGAGAGGGGACCTGATCCAGGTCTATAAATATCTGAGGTGTGAGGGGCAGAATGGCGAGGCCAGACTCTTTTCAGTGGTGAGTGGAGACAGGACAAGGAGAAACAGCTGGAAACTGCAGCATAGGAAGTTCTGCACCAATGTGTGCAAGAACTTCTTTACAGTGAGGTGACGGAGCACTGGAACAGGCTGCCCAGGGAGGTGGTGGAGTCTCCTGCTCTGGAGATGTTCCAGACCTGCCTGCATGCCGACCTGTGCGACCTGCTGTAGGGAACTGCTTTGGCAGGGGGTTGGACTCGATGATCTCTGGAGGTCCCTTCCAACCCCTACAATTCTGTGATTCTGTGATTCTGTGACTGGTGAGTATCAGGGGAGAGAATGGGAGATGGAGCTTTCAAAGGCCTCCTGATTTCCACTGATGAGAGAGAGTGCCAAGGCTTTGTGAGATCTCTTTTTAGATTCATGGTCTCCTGCTCCACAAGCAATGCTACTACTTCACCACCTTCTGCTAAGCCTGCGTCACACCATCTGCAGTGTGAGATGGGTGAAGGCATTTATGAGCAAGGAGCGCCCTGGTCATGCAGCAAAGCCGGTGTGCGACCTACAGAGTACAGGGGGTAAATTTTTCAATCCAATCCCTTGTTTCTAGGTGATCACAGAAAGCTTGTGTCACAAAACAAAATCATGAAGGCCAGCCACTGTCAGAGCTGAATGTTCAGCTGCGGTGTGTAAGCAGTCCACACATGCACAAAATCAGCTCAGAGAATAGAGGTATGTTTTAATCGCTGCCAGCACTAGAGAGATAGTATGCACTTTTGTAATTCATCTGTTTACTAACATCTTGCAGACTGAAAGTCTCAGGCAACATCCTCTAAATTAGGCCTACAAAGTGCAATAGATCTATGCCTGCTAGAAGAAAACACAGGCTCTCCCGTTATTAATGTGCAAAATCTGGAGATGAAGTCACATCTATAGGATGATCTATTTTGGTGAGCCACGTGTGCTTAAATCCCTGCCTTGATCTGTTAAACCACCAAGTCTGCCATAAATATTTGATGATGAACAAGCTAATAAAATGTGGAATATCAACAGAGGGAGAGCAAATGTGTGATTCAATTTTTAATTACCACCACTTTACTGTAAAGACAAGTTATTTTCTGATAGAGACTGAAAACAACAGTTTTCTTTCTTGATTTTAACAAAAACGATGGATCCTCACAGAAACAAAGGAAGTAGGGCACAAGAAATAAGGTAGAACAGTCTGGTTTTATTACCATAAGTAATCAAGAACTTTTGTTTCCCCTTTTCTTCGTCTTCTTTCCTTCCTTCTCTTTTTTTTTCTTTGTCTTTTAATTTTCTTTCTTTCTTTTTTTTTTTTTTTCCTTTTTCTTTTTTACAACGTACATTAAGGTGTGAATCTGATGTTACGGGGATGTGGAAATGAAGGGAAACCGGTGACATCACAATACTCTACAACTTTACAGCAAATGAGAGTCTGAATCTGTTGCATCTACCAGTGTATAGCAAGGGTGGAAAGCAAAGGCACACATAGGCTTATGAACCCCTCGAAAGAAAGGGTGAAGCAGGAGAATGAGAACAGAAAATCCATTGAGTACAAAACGGGCATTTCAAGGTCAAACGAGCAGCGGATGCAATGTATGTTACAAAGGCAGATCGCCATACGAGCTGTTGCTGTGATTATTCATTTCTGTGTTTTGACAGAAGACTCTGCCAAGTCATAGCAATGGACCTGTGCATTTTGGTACTCGGGGGGGAAGGGGGAGGGGGAGGGGGGGGTTTGGAGCCTGGTGAAAAGGCTGTGAGTCGGTTCTTTCCAAAAATGACCTTGCTACCTATGGTTTTTAAAGTTCTTCTTTTCTGTTTGCTTTTATTAAATCAACAACATTGCTTTGGATACAGATCTACCTAATCCAGTCTGCATAGTTCACTAAAGGTGAACAAAACCGTGTCGTAAAAGAAACCATGATGAAATGAAATCACATGCAAGCACCCTTGTTACACACTTTGGTCTAAACCATTCAGACTTTATATATACCATCTATAAGCTAACGGACTTGAATCTGTCTTTTCAGTCATTCAGAAACAAAACCAAAATCCTGGAAAGCAAATTGAAGTATAAAATTTTAAAAAACAAATTGAAACAGAAACAACCACCTTACTCAAACATACTGTTCAGTAGATATAGATATATATATATATAAAAAGCTTAGAAGCGATCCCCATCGTTTGTCTACAGTATGTTGACACAGTTATCGTAACAAATTTAAAACACATCTACTTTTTTTTTTTTTTTCTTTTTTTCTTTCTTTTTTGCATAAACTGAAAGAGTGGAAAAGGGACTTACACGCCTGCGCGCGCACACACACACGCACACACCTGTGCGCGCGCACACTCCCACGTAGCTACATGCACAGTCGCACCAAAGAAACAAAGGAAAAAAAAACAAACAAACAAAAATGTGTTTTTTTTTTTTTTTGTGTTGTTTTTTTTTTTTTTTTTTTTTTTTTTTTTTTTTTTTTTTTCCCCAGGGGAGTACATGCAGCATCCTTCCGGAGCAGCAGGTCGCTGCAGCAGGAGTCTGCCCACCCGGCTTAGCTCCGCATGCCCGGTGCGATGCAGGATATGCTGCCGGGCTGCTTGCAGGCACGGCCCCTCTTGCCCCGGTGCCTGTCTGCAGATGGATGACAACGCTGTCCCCAAGGACAAGGTGTTGGTGTCTCCTCTGCTGCCACGAGAGTGGTCGCTGGGTGGGGGGAGGCACGGAGCTGCAAGGCAGCGCGGAGGGAGAGTGCCCTGGGGAGAGGGCTTGGCACGGCTGGAAAGTGGAACCGACCCAGAGGGGATGGCACTGGCCTGGTCTAGCAACGGTTGTGGGGTGATGCTGATAGCCGCCGCATTCTTCTTCGAATGCCTTGCTCCAGTTCTCGAGCGGGCGCGGAGGAGGGAGGACCAATAAATATTTGCATTACTCCGAGGGGAAAAAGAAAAAGGTTTTTTACATACTACAGCTCACAATTATACACAACTGAGGGTGTAAGGCACAAATTTACATGTGGAAGAAAACAGGCTATTCACAGATATATTCCCACGAAAAACCCGTGTGATAAGACCATAATTTATGCATGGTAACAGCCGGCATATTAATTAGTTCACACTGTTTGAGGATTTCGTTTGCCGTCTCACATGCAAGGTGAAATGAGATGGCAATTCACAAGCTGGTGCCGTCACGGAAAGAATTAGCTACTGACAAAGCTATGTTGATAGCAATGGCGCACAAATGTGCAGCTTTTAAAGAGTTTCTCTTGCAGTTGCGTTACAAGTTATGAACCTGTGGTATTTGTTTGTCGCTGTCTTAGGTCAGAGGCCAAGCCAGCTAATTAGCTGAGAGATTTAAATAGATATCCCCGTTTTTTTTCAGCTAATCAGACAGTCCAGGCACAAAGTTCAGAATTCCAGCTCCAACTTAATTAACTCAGTGAATTTATTGGAAAAATAAAAGTTTTAATTACTCCAGTTAACGGGTTTCACGTTAAATAGGTATAACTTTCAAGGTACTTCTCTGAAGAACTGCTCACAGGATGATATGCGGAAGTCATTTCCTTAGGAAAAACAAAAGTTGAACAATAAATAAGAGGAGTTACTTGCGTTAACAGTCACGTTACTCATTAAAAGAGAAAGGTAGCAGAAATCTATGACATAGTTTGCCCAGCACGGCATTATAACTGCTGTAACCAAATGGCTGTAACACTGATGGGCATTTCACAGTACCTGCATTTAGTAAACTTCTGCCATTGTTAAGTCAGAGTTAGCTTTATCAATGGATTCTTTTTTCTTTCTTTTTTTTCTTTTTCCTTTTTCTTTTTCTTTTTTTTTTTTTTTTTCTTCCTATTTTTATTTTGTTTTTAATTACTGGTTTTGCTTTCCAGAGCACTCTTTCCCAGTTCAGGAATGCACTGTGCAGTTTGAGGGGGAGGGGGAGGGGTGAAATGTCACAGTCATCTTTCACCTGTGTGCTTTTGGCTCAATGTTTGTGATGGAGGGCTAGTCCTTTGAGCAAAGAACTGAAGGGCTGTGGGGGCGAGTCCTGCGATTGCAAACCTTCAACCATAGGTCATATGGCTCGGGTTAAAAAAATATTCCACTTTTCCCAGAGAGCAGAAACAAACATGTCCTTAGCTTGCAACAACCATCTTCTCAGAGGAGCAGTTGCAGAACACTCTCTTTCAAGGGCAACTTCTGCTTAACTGCCGTTCTCCCCCCACCCACCCCACTGTGATTATGTACACGCGTCATTGGGCTTCATGGACGTGGAGAGCGGAGCAAAGGAAGGTTTGGGAGGTACGTCTGGCTTTAGCGAGGGCGTGCGTTTCAACCCTGACCTGGTCAGAGAGTTGTACGTGGTGAGACTCGGCTGTCGTGATACAGTCATGGCCTGTGCCTGTGCAGCGTGGACTTGTATGGAGTCCACCCGCTGCGGAGCTGGCGGTGGGTTGTCACCCCTGCCGAAGCTCTGATTTCGAGAGAGGTGTGATGAGTTAGAGGAGTTGGTGTTGTTTCTTTTGAGGGTCGATGCCTGGTGACTTCTTGTGAGCGAGTTTGTAGGGTAGTTTCTCTTGTAGTCCACGTTGTAAGCAGAAGAATGCACATCTAGCCGCTTGCTCAGGCCACTCTGAGACAGGGAGGTGCTCGGCGGCCCGAGTGAGGCTTCCCGCTGAGGTACCTTTGGTGGCATGCTGTCAAGATTTTCCACCAGGTTAACCCCATGGCTGGGGCTTTTGCTACTGAGATGGTCCTTGATGGTTTTGTACTCAAGGGTGGCATTCTGGTCCTCCACAGACATCTGAGCCCCATCACTTATTTTTGGCTGGTCAACATACTCGTGTTGGTAGCCTTGCTGGGCAATGGGCAGAACCATAACACTGGGAATGTGGCTAGGAGATGCCCTGAGTGGCAGGTCAGTTGGGATCACGGGTGAGGCCATTGGGGGAATATCTTTTGTGCAGGCATTGATGAGGTTCTGGTTTCTTTCCCACTCTCTACTGCCACGGTTGGGCTTCCTTTTCTGCTGCAGGGTTGGGGTGGACTCCGGGGTTGGCAGGGCAGCCAGGTCCAGATGGTGCTGGTCAGCCTTGATTAGCATTTTGGTAGTGCTGCCTGGTGTGGCCAGCTTGCCATTGTGCATCAGAGGTGTGAGGATAGCTTCAGGCTTTGGTTCTTTGGACTGAGCATCTCCAAAGAGGCCACTGAGCTTGGTAACACTGCTCATGGAGCCGCGGCGGGAGTGGGTCAGTTCCTTCTCCTTTCTCTGCACAACAGCCACATCTCTGCGGCGATGGTCACAGATACAGTACACTACGATGCCCGAAAAGACGGCCCCCATTACAAAAGCTAGAATTACTGCAATGGCCAACAGGGTGACCGGCACCAGCTGATCATGACCCTTCAGGTAACTCTCACGAATCACTCCTGCAATAAACAGCATTACAGTGGTTAGGCAAACCAAGGAGAGGGAAAAGTCACTTATCTTTAACTGCTTTATTTGAAGGCGGTTTGTTCATGTTTTGCAAATGATTTCTGACCAGCTTGCCAAAATTTAGAGATATGCTGTACCTGCCAGCTACTTCTTACATGAGCAGCTTTGGGATTTCAATTCTGGAGCTGAATATGAAGTCCAGGAGGGGAGAGAGAATTCACTTGCAGGGCATATGGAGTCAGTTTGAAATCCATGCCCTGGGCAAATACACACTCACTTTGAGAGGTCAGAGCTATTACTGCTCCTCCTCTGACATACTGCTCATTCCTCCCTTCATTCAATCTCTGTTCTGCTAATACCATCTTATTTTTACTACTTATTTTTACTAAATTGCTCACATTGAAAATCCTGTGAAAGAAAGAGAGAGGGGAGAAGCTCTGCAAATATCAGAGAAGCGCATCCCACATTGTTTAAGGCTTCTTTCTTTGAGTGTCATTCTTTTATCTTTGTCATATGTTTTAAAAGTCAGTGTCACAGGCCTGAGCTTCAGGAGGATGCTTAAATAACTATGAAAGACAGAGCACTGCAGGAATGTATTGAGCCTTCTAGAGGACTGTCCTTGCTATTTTCATTCTTAAAGCTCTTCCTTGTTCTGGACACATGAATAGGCTCACCTCTGTGCTGAAGCTTATGCTTTTCTGCTGAAAGCTCTGACTTTGAGGGTCTCTTTTTTATGCCCCTGTGCTGCGGTCACAGATTATGGTCAGATCTTACTCGGCCCTCCAAGCCCTTGCTGCCAGAGAAGGCATCTGTGGCATTTCTCCTCAGTCTGAAGACGCTAACACAGCATTAATCAATGCCCTGAATTTCTAAAGAAAGAAACTTCCTTTTTTTTCTGACATAGTTGGGCACCAAGCCAGCAGCACTAACGAAAGACAAGCACAGCACATCTAGTTTGCTTTCTGATTTCTGGTTTTGTTCTTCGTGCTTAACAAGTTGCAGCCATTGCCTTACAAGGAGCTGAAGGAACATCTCTCCCAACTCTTTATCCAGAGAGTGTCCAAACACCAGGGCGTTAAAAGCTCCACGAGCTCTAAGGAAATGCCAGCCATGTCCTATTACAGGAGAGACAGCAAGACAGCAAAATTACCTGCAAGGCACTCCTGAGTCTTTGCAAAGATACAAAACTTCCATGTCACAAATCACCTCCTCCTAGAGAGGCACCTTTTTACATACTTGGCAGACAAGATATCAGTGGCCCAGAATTAGATTCAAATGCAAAATACTATGGTAAAAAAAACACTGAAAGGCTGTCCTCATCTCAAGGAAACCTTTGACAAGCATTATGGCTAAGTAGAGCACTATTACTATAGTATGTATTTTCTGCCCCCATTTAGTTACTGAGTTTAGTTGGACATGAGATATTTATTACAAGGTAGAGTCTTTATATTTAATACAGCTCTTGAAATCCTGAATTTCTGTTTGTGACATCACAGGCAGTTGCCATGGAAGTTATTATGCTGTCACCAAGGACTGTGATTTCATAAGAATAAAGAGCAGGAACAGATGATGCCATGAAGCTCATGAAGCCCAGATTCTGCAATCATACAAATCTTCATAGTCAAGGAGTAAGGGAAGTAAAACAGACCTCTGGAAACAATGTATAAGTAGAAATCATCTTCAGATCAAATGTTCCTGAGAACATGTTTCTAAAGCACAGCTGCTTTTCCACAGTCAGATGTTTCTACTCTTTGTCATGAGCGCTAAGCAAAAGTTGGTAGAGCCTAACCCTGTGATTTAAATCCACACACAGAGCTCCTGTATAAAACCCAGAGACACAGTGCAGTGGTTACAGTACTGTCAGTAGGAGCAGCATTTCACTGCTCTGAAGTCTTAACGTTTTTACAGTAACAAGGCTCAAAATACCTGATCAGCATCTACCTAGAGAAGTACCGACAGCCACTAAGCTGTGTCTGGAAGCAGAAACCATCTGTGTCCCTAGAGGATGGACAAGACTTTTTCTAGCTTAAGGATTTCTGCCTCTCTACCCATCATATGCAGAAGTGACATGGAGGCAGAAGATGGGAGCTGTGTATTCAAGCCCCAAAAATGGTTCCATAGAAGGACTCAAACTCATGTGATTCAAGCTATGAGAATGTTGCTCTGCTTCCTACAACAGAGGAAAAATGCCTAGCCACTGGGATGGAGGTTTCCTTCAAATGCTTATAGGTCTTTCAGGAAGGAGTTACAGCAGAGAAACCAGTTTGCTCTGTGGAAGCTGTCCTGCTCTCCTCAGAGCCCAGTATAACCATGGGTGGATGGGTGCTCCATGCCTGGCACTTCCTGCAGCCTTCAGGCTGAGGGCTGTTCAACAGCTGACAGCTATAAATCACAATCCCTGCATAAAAGCAGCACGAACTCTTGCCATCAGTTTTATATAAATGATGGACATGAAATCATTACAATGAATGTGTCAAAATTATCACACAGTTCAGTATGAGTGACCATGCCTGTTCATGAAAAAGGTAGCTGAAATGCTGCAGCTCATTCTGCAAGTGTTTTACCAGCAAAGATTTAGAAGGGCTTTAGATCAGCCTGATTCCTGCTACTTCCTCTAGAGCTCAAGCCCTCCCAGAGTTTATCCAAGTCTAGGTTGGATATCAGGAAGCATTTCTTTACAGAAAGGGCTGGTAAGCACTGGAATAGGCTCCCCAAGGAGGTGGTTGACTCACCATCCCTGGATGTGTTTAAAAACTGTTTGGATGTGGAGCTCAGGCACATGATTTAGTGGAGGGTTGTTAGGGTAATAGGGTTAGGTTGTGGTTGGACTTGGTGATCTTTAAGGTCTTTTCCAACCTGACTGATTCTATGATGCTATGATTCTATTATGTTTCCTATACAAGACAGAAACGACATTTAACTTTACTGGCTTTGCTCTAAGCAGGTAGTTCTTCTCTGGACACAAACTTAGGTTAATGAGGTAATTTACTTCTTATGATATAAACATCCAAGTTTTTTTTTATGCAAGTCTTCCTAACAACTTCAAATGAAATGATTAGGACGGGCAAGATCTGACCTGCATTATGAAACTGAAACATGATTATAGAACTGAAACAATTATTAAAAAGTATGAGGAATGTTCAGCATCCTACTATCAAGATTGAGGGAGTGAAACCTAGTATTAATATCATTTTGGAAAAGGTCTTGGGGGTAGAATAGCAGTAAAACTCAAAAAGCTTCAAAGACATATATGAGGTTAAATATTTGTATGTTCAAAGATCAGACTTTACCTGTAGGTAAGCACAACAAATACGCTGACACTTGTCAGTCTCCCTGAAATTTCCCACTGAGGTTAAAGTCTGTCTATTGCAAATCATAGCTGGGTTTAGCACTGCAGGCTTTCCCACGTGGGATATACTTAGTTCTGGCTACTGAGAGGGCCAGGCTAGTCACCTGATATTCTCCACTTTTCATAGCTCTTGTGATTCCAGCAAAAAACACAATCCTTCCTTTGCCACTGACTTTCCATAATTTCATCCCATGTCCTTTTGTTTTGCATCTTCAAACATTCTTCATTCATTTTCTCAGTGTATTCAGTACACCCTGTACTATCAGAATCTGAAACATAAAATATCACTTCTTACCCATCTAATGAGAGAGGAGATCTGATATATAATTCACTACTTCAAGCAGACATTACAGGTAAGATACAGAGAGTTGGCTGGCTGGTTGGTTAATCACAGAATCACAGAACAGCCAGGGTTGGAAGGGACCTCAAGGATCATGAAACTCCAAATCCCCTGCCACATGCAGGGCCACCATCCTCCATGTTTAATACCAGCCCAAGCTGCCTAGGGCCCCATCCAGCCTGGCCCTGAACACTTCCAGGAATGGACGGGGCATCCACAGCCTCTCTGGGCAGCTGTTCCAGCACCTCACCACTCTCTCTGTAAAGAACTTCCCCCTGACATCCAACCTCAATCTCCCTCAAAACCATTTTCCCTTGTCCTGCTGTTATCAACCCTTTCAAAGAGTTGACTCTCCTCCTGTTTTTAGGCTCCCTTTAGGCTGCCATGAGGTCACCCCGCAGCCTCCTTTTCTCCATGCTGAACAAGCCCAGCTCCCTCAGCCTGTCTTTGTAGGGGAGGTGCTCCAGTCCCCTGATCATCTTCGTGGCTCTCCTCTGGACCCTCTCCAACAGCTCCCTGCCTTTCTTGTACTGGGGGCTCCAGACCTGGACACAGTACTCCAGAATGCTAAGAAAAATGTTTCCAAAATTCCACAGAGTTTCAGTCTGAAATGACTTGTTGAATGTCTGTGGGTGAAAATAAGAGAGAAAAGACTGGAGTTGATAAAATAATATGGATCTACTGTATGCTAGATAATCGTAAGCATGAAGGAGACGAGGCTTTTTCTTTTCATTAACTAACAGAAGTATCCAAGGGTTAGGACTTCACCTGGACATCTGCTAAATCTGCTAAAACAGTACAGATGTGCATGGCGCTGAAAATGTCATTGCATCAAAATGCTGATGTAACTATTCTGTGCACGTTCTGGTTGTTCTAATTCTAACAGGAAAAGATATTCTGAAGGCAGAAATGTAATTAGGATGAAGTAATCATATTAGAATATAGTTCATCATCCTAAAGAATACATGACATGAGCATAAAGGAATGGGAATAATGAATGCCAATACTGCAAATTTCAATAATGGAGGACAAATAATAAATATATGGATATTAAAGCATTTACTCCTTTCCTTGCTTCCTATTTCAGCAAAAACTGTGGTTTGCTGAACTGTAGCAAATTGTGGTAATGCAGTTCTATCAAAACAGAGACAAGAGACAAGGAGATCCTATCGGAGGAGAGATCTGACACTCCAATTTTCAGAATGAGAATGACAGTATAACAAATGATTAAGCTACCAATTTCATAATCAAGTATAAAAAAGTGAATATAAATTAGTCAAGAATAAATTGCATTAGCCTAGCCA